TCTCAAGAATCTCAGTCTGCCATGAAAGAAACTAGTGATTGTTGTTGCGTATGCTGCAGTGGAAATACAGATATATACTGCATGTGGATAACTGCTAGGAGGAAAACAAAAAATGATTTACCCATAAGTAGCGATCAGTGCTAGATGTGCACATATCCCACACAGCCCCCATTCTCTTTTCGTTGCACTTCTGCACCCTTGGGATTCTCATACCCATAAGGTGCACTGAGTGTGCTATTGCCCAGATTAAAATCTCAAGGTGCCTTAAGGCTTACATGTGCTATATAGCTATATCAGGCCTTGCAGTCCCACAAACAAATGTGCAAATCCACCAGATAGGCATGTATCTCATTGAACTCCTAGTACCATACTGTAAGTAACTTTTCATTCAATGAGATGAATGAAAAGCTTTCCTATAGGTTCTTTTTGTAGTGAAAGTAGCATTAGCAGATAGCATAAGCATGTTCAGTCATACAGAGGATAAAGTAATTTTCAAATGCACACACAGAGTGTGTGAGTACCTGAACAAACCACATTTGAAATAGTGTGAGTTACTACTTTTTAGATATTGTCCTAAAACTCCAAATTTTAAAACATATAATGGAGTGCGACACCAATAAATAGCTTGTTTTAAAACTATATCCGCACAGTGAGTGTGCAATTCTACTGTTATGAGTAATATTTAAGAACACAATCAAAATTACCAACAAATATTACCAGGCAAACAGTTATAAGACAATGGTAAGCCATCATCCCTAAAAGCAAAAGTACAGAGCAATCCACAAGGAAATAAAAATTGGCAAGAGCGCATGAACATTTGCTCTTGAAGAATTCTGTACATTTCCGAATCACAGCCAAGCAAAACACAGGTAGACATCTGTCTGCAATCTGCATAGTTGCAGGATGTGTCTTCTGCCAATTCATCCCTTAAATAATGAGCATTTCTGTGCAATCATATTATTGTCGTACCTTATATACAGTGGCTTAAACTTTTCAATATCTCATAAATAACAACAGTAAACTAAACTGGGGATTAGTTAGTGTGAAGCTTGATAGGAAAATAAGGATTCAGGAGACTATACCAAAAAAAAAAAAAAAAAAAGACTGGGAAAATGAAAGACGAGCAGAAGTGGAACAAAATAATAAACTCTGAGGGAAAAGTCAATGCCAGTAAATGTAATATCCTACTCTCAAGAAAAAAAAAAAAAGAAGAGTGAAGCACAGATGGAAACAGGAGGGCATGTTCATCCAAACCCATTATAGGAAGGCAAGACAATTGTTCTGCTTTTGTTCTTTACCATGTTTTAATACTATTGCATAAAGTCATGCATTGTAACTGTTGAGGGAAAGGTATACCTAGAATTTACAAGCAAGCACATGCCATAGGACGAGTCATGAACCACACAGGTAGGAAATGGTCATCATTTCTAGAGAATTCATAGGCCTTCTGAAAGCCAGGGATCAAAATCAGACTGGGTCCCCCAGTTTAGTTAAATATGGCACAACTATTACCAGCAGATTTGTTTTCTTGTGAATCAAACTCCGGTCTTACCTTTACCCTTTTGTCTCAGTGGAAAATCAGCGAGTACATATGAACACAGAATTATTTTCTTTTCCATAATGATCGAACCCAAATGTTATTTTACCTTTGCCAGCTTTGTGTAGGGTGATGTGCCATCTTGCATATTTATTTTCCTGGAGTGATTCCCAGAAGTATGCTATGCTTTTTCTTGCTCATGTCTTACTAACTTTATTTATGAGTTGTGTACACCAGGTTTTCAGTCCCTGGGGACAGGCCTACACAGGAAATCTATGGACAGCATTTGATACATACAAGTATGAGACCAGTAAAAAAGCAGCTGCTGAATGGTACTCCAAATTGATTCACAATTTCAGACTAGATTGTGGCTAGGTTAGCATCCGTAGTTTAAACCACAAATACCTGTATCTGTTTTGTCATGTAGGAGGAAGACTCCTTTGTCAATTGGAAACAACTGAAATTGCAAATTTTTGCTTGGTTTACATATTTAAAATTCCACTGTTCTCTGATGACAGAGTCTAATAGCAGTATTGTTACTGTTATTGATTCTTACTGATTGCATACAAAGCATGCTCTAAAGATACCTTTACTCCTCCATGTTAGATGCATGAATTCCCTTTGGCTGTAAAGTAAATCAAGATAAGGCCCTCTTTCTCATGTGCCATCCCAATTGATGAGAGCTGATAGGTATATTATCCCTTCAATTACACCTGTGCAATCCCATTAATTGGAAAATAACACGACCTGGGGAGACTTAATGGCTAGTAATGGTATAGGAAAGCTGATATACAAAGGTTTTGATGTACATTTTAAACTGCAGTTGTGTTTGCAGGTTGGCTGTTTGAAAAAAACCCCAAACAGTTTTTACCATCCCCTAGAACTTCTGTGAGGTGACATAATTGCTGGAGCATTCCTCAAAACAGAACTGATGGATAAGAATTCTGATGGGTCAAGCCAGGGAGCAAAGCATCCTGCCACCTCTCTGATGTTCTAATTCATCTGACAAGTCAGTTTGGTATTCATGAATGTGTTCTACATCTGGAAAACGTTCCTCCCTAGGTCTCTTTACAACATCTGCAGTAGGTGTGATGAGGCTGTCAACTCATGTAGCCTGTTAAAATGTTGGTATTGTACTTCAAGGATGCTCCTAGGCTTGCCTCTAGGCCAGCTCTAGTGTCAGTGCAAACTGCAGCCTCTCACTTCAAGGTCATCTGCGTGCCTGTGCATATCCAAGTGTTTGGTAGTTGGTAGTCAGCGAGGTGGTTTAACACTCTGCTCAGTACAATGGAGGGGTGATGTGGGGCTGCTCTTCTGCACGAGAAGCAGGTGGAGTGAGGAGCCCAGTTCGATGCCAACCACAACCAAGACCATTCTCCGAAGTGCTGTGCCAAAGCAGCCTTTCTAGTGATGGTGCACAAGTGATTGCACTTCTGTGCCAGCTGGGCACTCTTGCCTTGTGCGTACTGGCTGCTGAGCAGGAGGGAAATGCGAGGGCTGTAAGTGTGGTGGAGGAATTAGCAGTGCCAGTTTCTTCCACTGTGCGTCATTGACAGCTGTCAGACCTACTGGTGACATGCAGGACAGAACTGCTGAGGTGACATGCTGTTTACCACCCTTTACCCTCTTGTTTCTACTGACATCTGAACTCCCAAAGCAATTCCTTTTAAGGCCATTCACCCAGTGACACTAAAGAGCTGATTACTCAGTGGGATGATATGGAGTGAGGTAGCCTGAGGACAGGCATTATTACTGTGGGCTGGCTTTGCAGCTTCTGCCATCTCTGCTACCACTCTTGTAAAGTCTGGGATCTGAACTTGGGGACAACCAGCCAGTAAGTAGCTTAAAGGAATGGGATTGTTCATGCCCTCACCACCCCTTTATTGAATTAAGGGTCCCAAGTAAAACCAATTACCTTACTCAGAGCCTAGCACTCGCATATCTTTCTACAAGCTCCCTGACAGCAGGACCATGCCCAGCTGAAACAGTTGCCTCCTCCACCCTGACACCTCAAAGACCCAGCAGAGCTCCAAATCCTCTTCTCTGTAGCACAGTCCTGACAAATATTTTAATTGGGTATTGGATGAGACCAGTGTGCACATCCTGGTGCAAACAGCCATTGCCCGTGGTTGCAGGAGCACGTGGGTATTGCTAGTCAAGGAAAAGAGGCTATTGGGGTCTTTGCTTCATCTCAGTCACTGGACCTGAAGAAGACTTTCTTAAAGGCACCCCATCTGTCACACATGCTGCAACTGACACCTGAGTTAGGGATTTATGTAATTTATTATTGTAATTTATGATGAGTGACAAGGCAGGGACAGGTACATACATCCCATGCTTCATGCCAGAGCCAGGATGCCTTTTGTGGAGACACTGTAGCTTATTAGGCAGAAACAACTTAGTAGGGGGGGGGAAGAGGAGAGGCTGTGCTGCCAAGGAGGAGGAACAACAAGCTGCTAACTGGGGGTGAGGGGAGAACAGAGCAGATGCCGATATATTATCCTGGTCATTGGTCCTACAGGTATTGGGCTGGCAAAAACTGCAAGGGATGCACTTGGACATTTCCTGCCATTTTTAAATAAACCAAATTAGCATGTGTTACTTGTGAGTTTATGCTCAGTGCTTGTTTAGTTGGGTTTTTCTTTTCATATAGGATCATAGAATGGTTGGGGTTGGAAGGAACCTTAAAGATCATCTAGTTCCAACACGGGCATGTTTGTTTGTGTTATTTTGTTTTCTTTAATAAGAAAGAAATCACTCAGAAGCTTGACTAGGCTTGCTCACATGTAGTTACATTTAGCTGTAATCTGCCTGGTCAGTTGTAGGAGAAAAATAGCACTAGTTTGAACTGGATTGAGTAGCAACAAGCCTTTAATTTGGGGCAGCAGAGAGAAAATTGTATAACACTGTTGTGCTGTCCTGAGTGGGAGAACAATCCAGTGAATTGCATGATTTTTCCGTCTTTGTAATCAGTTTGTTATGCATAGAGCAGTGCCGTGGGATTCAGCATTTTATCTGCTGGGCTTTCCCTGGCAGCATCTGAAGACGTTCATTATAAGTGTTTATCACATGATCCACTTAATCAAACCACTGAAACTTGGAGAATAAGTCATTTTTACAAGACCCTTCAGAGCTGCCTTATAAGCTACTTACTGATATACTCTTCCTTGGTGAGTGTACAATGAGTTTCCTTGTATCCCGGTCTATGATACAGGAAGTTCATTATCCCCAGTCCGAATTCAGACATAAAGAAAGGAAGCAGGTCTTACAAAGAAGTGACAGATAATTTGCAAAGGATTTCAGTTAGCCACTCAAATTGCAGATAGAGTCAGACTGTAAGCTCTTCATAAGAACAGCCTTCTGGTATTCAGCATTAGGCATGAGGCAGCTATCTACATAGCTGTTTCTAATGTTGTAAAACACAGACAACACATGAAAAAATATTTTCTTCTTTTGATTACAGGTCTCCTAGTGGAAGCATGTGAGAAAAAAGAGAAATCGGAACTGAAACCATGTTTTTGGTGGGGTGATAGCACTGCATGATAGTCAGAGCTGATAACTGAGCTGATGCAAAATGCCTTGAAAGCCTGCTAAATCCAGCTTGCACTAAGGTATTGAGACACTGAGACTTGTCTGACAAGCTCAGAGCTTGCAGACATGCTGTTTGCAACCTGTGTTTGTACACTGTACGTTTGGTAGGATAAAGTGCATTTCCCTGTTATGTACCTAAGAAATGTTCTGGCTGTTGGGAGCAGGTAGGTTGGGGCATTAATTTTACTGAGCTCTGTCACACGCAATGTGACACCAGATTTTCTGGCACTCACTGTATTTTTTTCACCAATGCTGTTTCACAGGTAGTGTCTCATAAAGGCTTGTCTTCTTGCTACCTGCTGAAGACAAGTTTGGATATCACCACAGATGTAGGCTTTGGGCCAGTCTTAGTGTAGAAATGCCCTGGATAATTTTCCAAAGCACCACCCTACCATTGTCTCCATATGATAGCACTGCTCAGCTACACCTCTTCTTTTACCTCCCAAACTCTTCACAAAATGTGAAGGCAGTACAGGCAGTACACAGACCCAATACTGATTTTGTGTAGGGTTGCACAGGCTGAGTCTGATGTGGGCCTCCAGATTAACATTTTTTTTTGATATTGAAAATTGCCCTTAGGGCAAAGAGCATTGGGCAGTTCAAAACAAGCTACTCTGTAAGACATCAAAACCAGGGAAGTGTGCAGAACTGAGAAATATGGGCAACAGAAAAACCCTATGCTTGTTTGATGGGGATGATGCATTTTCTCTAGTATAGCTCCAGTAAAGCAAGTCACAAAATTGACACCATTGTCTGGGCACTGCTTTGAGGGAACAGTGAAACCTGTCTCTCCACTGCTGATGTCCATGCAGCCCAGAGCTTTAAAATTCAACCTGTTAATTTCTCCTGGGAGTAATTAACTCCAGCCTGGAGTGAGCAGAGTCTTGACTACATCAGTCAACAGATGTGAGGATTTGAGATGTGCCGTTTTCATTCACTGTGTTAGAGGAAACCTCTTTGTTTTCCATGTACTGTGTACCTGTCTGTCTTGTCTTGATACAGCTGTCGGTCTCTTGACTGCTGATATACTGATATATCAAATTGTCATTAGTATGGCTGTGTCCTCAGGAGGGACTGTGATGCTTTAGAAGGTTGGTTTCCAACTAGTAAGTTAAAAAGCCTGGAGGAAAATACTGGTTTTCTATCTTTTCGCTCTTCATTTTAAAAATAGTAAATGCTAAATTATTTTACCTCTTTTAAAATAAAGCATAGCACCAAAAGAGATGAATCTATGCTAGCTTACTAGTTTTGCTACTTCAGTCAGTTTTATTACAGTATGATTCCTTGCTTCTTTTCTCACTTCTTTATTATACTCTGTCTTCTGAGTTGCTGTTGTGCCTATTTAAAGAGCCCCCCTTCATCTTTCTTTTGGGACAGTCTTACTACTGGCTTTTTGCTGTTTCAGCCTCTACACAGCTGGTGCTTCAAGAAAAAACTGTATCTTGTAAGGCTGGGAGAAGAATGGACCCATAAAAAGAAATATTTTTTTGTATGTGTGTAGTTCTTTAATTAGTAAGTCTTCAACAACCTTACCTAAAGCAGCTATTTGCTATGTCTCAGCTTCTTAGGTAAGGAGACCGGAGCAGAGTGAGTGGGTAACTTTCTGCTGTCTGCAGCAATGCAGTAGTAAGGTGGAGAATAAAACTTCTGTTTTCCAAATGTTCCATGGCTCTGTGCATGGGGAAGGCCAGGACTGAGCATCTGGAATCATTGCTGGCAGGGATATTTTTAGTCTGCTGTAAAGAGAAATGGTCAGTTGTCCACTGCGTGCTGTTTGTTTGGCATTCAGGAACCATTAGTGCCTGTATTATGCTGAGGCTGGATCTCAGTGTCTCTGTACAGCCTGGTAGGAGGGAAGATTTGGGAGAAAGACTCTGGCAGGTGCATCTGGCTGTGTGCATTTGCACATGTGTGGGGTGCACACAACACCCACTGAGAATGGATACTACCAGATACTAACCAGACTGGGTTTGGTCAGTGCCAAGCTGGGCTAAATTCTCTCTCCCAGCTTAAAGATGAAAGATTCTTTAATGCACTCACCACTCCTGGGCCATTCCACTCAATCCCCAATAATGTTATCTGTTTAGAAGTCTTTCTCACTGAATTTCTTCTTTTGAAGACTGCAGGGTTTTTAAGAATGGACTGCAGCACCTGCTCCTTGCTGGAAGTCCTGAGGCTGGCACTTGCAGTGCCTAACATGCCAGTCACAAAGCATCACATTTACCAGACTTTCACTGGGTGTAGCTAATGAAAAACAGAACAGATGTTGTAAGGACTGTCAGCCTAAGTAAAGGAGGGTAGCTTTGAATAAAGCCTCCAAGATAGTATTTCCAGAATATACTTCTTTAGAAAAAAAAAGTGGAAAATCCAAAGAATGAAATTCAGCCAGAATGAGCTCACTGAAGGTGGTGCTGGTCCTGATTTTTTTTTAATCAATTTTATTTATTTTAGTAGTTGGTTTTTCGTCTAGTGTCTGCCATTACAGTACCTTTTTCTGCAGCCCCAGAAAACCCACATTTTTGTGGTGTTTTGGAGCTTTCCCACAGCATATATTTCCCCATTCTTAGAAGGCCAGTATGAATCAAACAGAGAGGACTTCACCTGCCCAACCAGCAACTAGGTATGGAGAAGTTGCCTACACCCTGGCAGATGCCTCTTCCTTCACAGTCAGCCTTGCAGAGATTTACATCCACTGGTTTCATCCATGTATCACCTGAGATTCTCTGGATCTGTCCATTAGCTCCATGGACTTGGTGGCTGCAGAGGTTGCTGCGAAGCTCCCCTTACCCAAGGGTTAGGTGGGCAAGCATGTGCTTGCCCTCTCACCCTCTGGAAACTGAAGAAGTCCTTGATACCTTTCAATGAAGAAAAAATGTTTTAAAAACTCCTGCCTTTGCTTTTGGTGGCATTTTTCCCAGTTTGGATGGATCTGTGCAGTGGTGTGCAGTGGCCTGCAGTGCTCAGGGCCATGATGGGGAGTACTCGCATTTATATTTGTCTGGTCCCATCTACATCAGCAAGCTCTTGAAATGTAGCCTACCTGGCATATCTGGTCAGGCTGGGAAACTTAGCTTTAGATGTTTTTTTGTTTGCTTACAAGTGATCTTGGCCACAGAGAGGGACACACAGCTGGTGGCCTCTTCACGGCTCCATGATCAGGCTGAGGCTGGGCTCGGAGCTGACAAAGTCTGGAGTGGGGCTAAGCAATTCCAGCTTATACTTGGCTTCATTTGGAGGTGGATTGGAGTGGCTGCTACTCTGCTCCCTTCATCCACGGGTTGGTGTGTCAGGGCCCTGCCATGGCCCGAGGGGGAAGGGAATAGGAATGTAACACTGCACAGAGGGTTCTGACACAGTAGAAGGTCAGGGTGCAATGGCCCGTTTATTGAGGGAAACGAGGACTTATATAGGGTTTGGATGAGGGGAGGTCTGATAACCAGGGGGGAGCATGGGATTGACAACTCAGGGGAATATGGGATTGGGGAATGAGAGAAAGGTAGGAGGAACTTGGGAGTATCTAGGGGAAGGGGACCAGTAGGAGCTCACTCTGCACTGCAGCACTCATCGGCCAGTCAGTGGGGGATGAGCAGGAAAACAGGGGAGGACAAGGTGGTAAACAACTTTTGCCAGGAAAACGTGAGGGCAAGTCCAGACAGGCCCTGAACCATACAAACCAAGGGGATTAACAAAGAAATATATGTGGGGGTACGTTAAACATGGTATAAAACTGGGGAATAACATGAAAGTCCATGGATTGTTAGCTTCTTCAGGCTCTGTATAAGTCTCTCCAGGTTTTGAATCTCTCCCAGTCACTCTGATGTTCCTCCACAGGGCCCAGTTTGGCTTTGCCTTCATGGACAGCAGCAACCATCACCTGTCTGCCACGGCAATAGATGCCTCTGCTTGCTCCAGATGTCCTTCTCCTGCAGACCAGAGAACACCTCTTGCTGTGAGTTATAACTTGTAATATAAATACAAATATAGGTATTGTTCTTCCTCCATTAGTTGTAATAGCAGTAGGCAGGGTGGTAGAGGTGTGTGTATGAAGGCCTAGTCTCTCAGAGAGGGTTTTAAAAGTGGCTTTTGTGAGATGTTCATGTGCCAGTGTGGTTTGTGCTGGTTGCAGGGACCCATGTGAGTGGCTACTGGCACAGCTCAAGGAGATATGACACAATGGGCATTTCTAATGATACTGATATGCTGTGTGCCACCCTTGAACTTCAGAAGACCTATGCTGGGGATCAGGGAGAAGGAGCAGTGCCAGCCCATCGATACTGCAAACCAGTGTTGTGGCAGTGCTTCCCTGCAGCAGCATCATGACAAAGGATGATGGAGGAGGAGGCTGGCAAAAGCTATGACCTTCCAGCAGGATCTGTTTCCCAGAAATGGGTTAAACAATAGCAGACTGCTGCAGGTGTAGGCATGGAGGAACCTGTTAAATTAAAGCCAAAGTGTAAGAGGAGAGATGTTTGCTTTGGAAGATAACGTGTACCTGTTCTGTGTGCTGAGGGTGAGGAAACTCTCCAAGACGTGTACTTCATTACCACAGTAGACCTTTTGCACTGCAAGGCCGCATAGCTCCCAATTCTCCCCTCCCTTCTCCCCTTCCCTGGTAAGACCAGAGGCCTCCCTCAGCTTTACCAGTGCCTCCAATCTGACAACCCAGAAGCCTGCTAATGGGTGGTAATTGCTCCTTTTTCTCCATCAGTACATCTCTCTGGGGAGCTTCCCTGACCACACTGCCCAAGTTTGCTGCCTGAACTGATGCTGTTTTTAATATGCCCAGGTCTCCAGTACCTGCAGCCTGGTCAGTGGCTGAAGATGAGGGAAAGGAGTTCAGCAAAGCGCCCTTTGATGAGGCTGCTCTATGGAGCCAGCTTTGTTATCTGCCTTGCTGCTGGTCTCAGAGAGACTGCAGGGAAATCTGCTGATTTATTTTCTTAAATGGCATCAAATTATGGCAGTTAAGAGCCTACCAGGAGAAAATGGGCTCTTAGGGCAGCATTTCTTGTCTTATGTACAAGGCTTTATTGAATTAACTTTGTACTAGAACCACTTTACACTTCCTTTGCTGGAGAGGCCAATCTAACTTAACTGTGGGATAAAATTTTACAACCATATTTTTGTTATACAGGTGATGTGCATAAAGAATTCTTTACATGCATTAATATCATCGGAGTTTTGGCAAGGCCATAAATCAGGCTGTCTCTCAATCATCTTATCTCTATCTTAATGCTGCACTCATCCCTGTGGTAAGTACGTAACTCTCTTGCTTTGCTTCTTATTTTCCACATTAGGGACAGTGGATTTTCTCTCCCACGAGCACTTTACAAATGTTCAGGTTCTGTGAGAGAAATCTCTGGCGCTACTGTCGCTGTCCAAGCCATGCCTTTTGCCTCTGTGGGTAACTGCAGCTTGGCAGCTCCAGCTGGGCAGCAGCACTGCCAACCTGCACGACAGAATCTTGCATACTTTCAGCTACTTCTCCATTATTTGCACATAAAGTTAATAACTGACTCAAGAGTTCATCTACAAATACATATTTAGGGCTGCTCTTGGTAAATTTTTCCCCTCTCAGCCACAAAGCTCTTGTTTTCTGCTATTTCCTTCCTCTATTTTCCCTTGACCCTAATCCACTGTAACATTAACATGTTAGTTTTGAAACAGCCAATGTATTCTTAGTCTCTTCTTCTCCCTTACCTGCTGATTATTTCTCTTTTTTTTCTCTCTGTCCTTTATACTTTCGCTGTTTGCAAAAACCAGCTTTTCTCCTCCCCCTCCCTCTTCACAGCTCCCACCATCTGTCTCTCTACAAATACAAAGCTTTAGGGGAAATGATTCACTAGGCTGGTAGCTCATTACTCACACTCTCCCCATCATGGTTTCTGTCCTTGTAGGATGCTCTAACTAATGTAAAGATCAATGAATCCCAGGAATTGTTATTTGATTTAAAAAAAAAAAAAAAAAGCCCCAGCAGTTAAATAGATTGGGCTCTTTGTACTTCCTAAACACCAAAGCATAGTTTTTCTTCCTCACTCTGCTTACATTGTTTTTCAGAAAAGGATCGTTGAAACAGAAGAATAGAAATAATCACTGGACCATTTAATGTAACCTTGTGCATCACGTGGTGCAGGAGTTACTTAATGAAATTCCCTGGCCCAAACCAAGCAAATCTGTGGTAAATCTAGAGCACATATTTTCGGATGACAGCCAAAATGATGAAAGGAATTTACTACCCAGCCTCGCTAATCATTTTGAATGCTTAACTGGGCTCCCTAATATGCTGCTTTGCAAGCAGCAAAACTCCCTACACATTTCTCCAGCCTTGCCCAGGCTGTGCACCTGAAAAAACCTCCCAGCACCCTGCCAGCCCTGTCCAAGGGCAGGGTGGCCAACTGTGCCTGCTGTGAGTGCTGGATGGCCAGCTGCCCTCCTCTGGGAAGAGACCTCTGCAGGGCAGAACCTCTGCTGCCTCTCCCTTCAAAGCATGCCGGTTTGGGACTTGCTCTTTGCTCAGGTAATTATTACCATGAAACCCCGTAGCTACTTAGTATCTTTGAGCTTTCCCTGTTAAATGTGGCAGAAATTGGCTAATGGGTGCAGAAGCCATTTCAGACAGACTAGTTCACAGTGTTAAAATGTTTCAGATACCTTAAAATACCAGAGTCAGCCATATTGAGTTGGCAGATGTGCCACAGCCTTTCAGAAGATTTATTCAACCTAGAGGCTGAGCTCCATGCTCAGCGTACTCCAGGTAACTCTAAATGGTGATGGTCAGGTATGCACATTCCACTCCTTTTGTCTTCATTTTGTTGACCATTTGAGATGGATTTCTGTCATGACTTTAGGCTTCTCACCGTATACTAAAAAGTTATTTTCTTAATTGGAAGCTTAGTTTTTCAATTTATCACATGAAAAACAGACCTTCCTTCCCTGCATGCAAGTAGATGCCAAGAAGTACCACCACCTAACACAGTTTTATTGTGCTTTGTCAGGAAGCTGCTGGCATGGCAGGTATTAGCCTATTTCAGTTGTTGAGCTTCCCTTTTGAAATTGGAGTTGTAAGAAGCACAGACAATACTACAATCAAAATTATAGGAGCTGGCAACACCGAATGCACCCTTCTACCAGTTCCCTTAAATGGCTGCAACTCTTTATGCAAAAGGAAATTCCTTTATGCTAAAGGAAGGTCTGAGTTTAAATTTCTCCTTCATAAGCACCACAAGGCACGTCCTGCATCAACACACCATGCTGGCATCACCTTTGTGGAAAGCTAATTAAATAATTTGGATACTGTAAGAGGAATATAAACTTCTGGGCTAATTTACTTTTCAGACTACCGAATACATGTACTTTTTTATAAAGCTGTGTTTGGGTCATTTTGTGACAAATAATAAAGCTGAGGAGGATCTTGGTGAGAGCCTGCATTGAGCAGGCATGAAGTGCTCTGGTGTCAGAGCAAGACATTATTGTGTGACTGCTCTAAAGAATAAGGGCTGCAGAATTTCAAGCCAATTGTCCACTGTTACCTCAGTAAGGTTAAGGCTGTTTAAAAAACAAAGACTCCTCACCAAAGTCATGGTTATGTGCTCTGTAAAAAAATGTTCAAATTTTAGCAGACGTGATGTTGCTGAGCCTTCCCGGTTGCCAACACCCCATGGCTCTCCATCTTTGATTATTTTATTGTTCTATACTGCATACAAGTTGTAGGAGTCAATGTTCTTTCTCTTAGCAATTGATGGCTTTCCAAGTGCCAACTGTCCTTTGACATGGTCTGTTTTAAATAAGGGCTGAAGAGCACTAATGAACCTAAAGGGCTGCTACAAAAAATACTGCAGTGTTCCATGGCGCTGACAGCACACACGTAGTCATGCATTTAGGTCTCCTGTTCTGGACTATTGCTGCAACACGCTGCAGGTGTGAAGGGCACAGCTGTAAGGAAAGGGAACTCCAGAGATTTCAGATCTGAAAGTCCTCTAATTGAAGACAAGTGTCTTTATGCAAGACAGGCTAAGGAAAACTTGCGTTATCCAACCCATTTCTCCCTTGTTCCCAGCAATAATAAAAGCAGACACAATATATAAGGTGCCTTAAAAAGGCAAATATTTAATAGTGTATATACAAATTAATGGTTTGATAATGCTATACAAGGCAGGAATATCTTTAAAGAAACCCTGAGCAAAAAGGAGAATGTAATTTTTGTTTTACTCTCATTGCAGCATTATTTCTGGTATTTGTTTGCTATTATGACTAATAAAGGAATATGTTAAAAACAGATGTTAAAATAAAACTGGGCATTCTTTCCATTTGCAGCTTATTTAAAAATCTAAAGAAAAGAGTTCTGCCCCATCAGCTTTGGAAATAGTTGTTTAACATGGGAGAGAACAAGCTGAGCCTGCGTAACCCAAGACAACCAATTCCTTTAGCAGAAAGTGTCTTCTGTCATCAAAAAGAGCCATCTGGAAGAGCGTTGGCTCCGTGCCAGGAACAACCCTTTAGCAACTGCTCAACATACACTTTAAGTTATAATGTTCATAACGGCACAACCTGGAGTGTTGGTAAAGGGCCTATTGGAGGAGCAACATATTCCTCCTCCCGCAGTAACCGCAAAAGGATGTTCTTCTTATTCTTTGGCCAGTTATAAATGTGGGTGTTCTGCAGCCAGGTAGGCACATGTTCCTGAAAAAACAAGGAAAATAAACACTAAATCCTGTAAATCCTCCTGAATCTGTACCAGAACCTTGCAGATTCTGTCAGGCCCTGCCAAGCAAGATTTCATTTTGTCTGTTCTAGGCACCTCCTGTAACAACAAGAAACTTTAATTTGGCTTCAGAATTGTATTTGGGTTCCTAAATAAATGAACTTTGTGTGATCTCACAGCTTGCCTGTCTCTCTTCTGCCATCATGTTGGCTAATTTCACATTTCAAAGGAAGTCTCATCTCAGTGACAGGCATCGAAAGGCTTGTGAAAATAAACATTGAGAAGAGAAGGGAGACATTTCAGTGTCCTGTGCAGGGAAAGACTGCCACCTTAGTAGCTGCTAAAGGATCCACACAACATGTTCAACCTTGGAATGAGAATCAATAGGGAAAGAGTGGGACCCCATGGGAGCATTTCACATCTTGGTAGCCCTCTCACCCTCCCCTTGCACCTTCCTTCACCAAGTATGGTGTTCTCTGACCACCTCCTGAGCAGGAGGTTGAGGCCAATGCTGAGCTTGAGGAGAGACTAATGCATCTCCAGATTAGCAGGGTCAAACCTCCACCACTCCTTGCACCCTGGGAAAGGTGCAGTCTTTCATAGGGGTTGGCTAATGCCCATTAACATAATGAAGCCAGGACCACAATGGCCCTAGAGAGTGACAGCAGGCTGATGGAGAGAGACCTGCTCAGACTTCATGTTTGCATGTTTCCACAGCGTTGTGAGGTTTCCATATGGACAGCCTGGATGTTTAGAGGTGAAGGGCTATTATGATACCATTAATTGACAGATGGACTGATCCTTGAGCAAAACCAGCTCATGGTCACCATGAGATGTAGATTTCTTTTGGAGAGCTGAAGTTAAAGATACTAGAACACAACCAAAGTGAGAAAGGAGGTAAGCAACACAAGCAGCCAGGACATCCAGCACTTGCTCCCTGGACCTCTCATTTAGCAGGCAGTGTTTCCCAAGGTGGCTCGTGTTAGGAGCAGCACAGTTCCTGTCAAGGTAGTGGAGCTGGCTTCAAGAGGACAGAGCAAAAAGATGCTGGTGTGAACCATATTTCTGGCACCTCACCAGGGGATGCCCTGGCATGGGCAGCACATGTCCTGCCTGCCAGCAAACAATCTAGCTGCAGTCCAAATCTTTCTTTTCCAGGTATCGTGCTTCTCAAATTGGATGTCTCTTCCTTGGCCTGGACAGCTGTAGGAATGAAGCTGCATCGCTTTCCCTGCTCAGGGAGCGATTTGTGTTAATGGTTGCAACCACTTTGTTAGATCTATAGCATTTATGTATAGGAAGAAAGAGGTAAGTCACACAGGCACCTACACACCTATTAGTCTGAACTCACCTAGGCCTCTGAACAAGCAGCTTCGTGAGTGGCAGAGGTATCTATCAAGCCTGACCTTCCTCTTCCTCCAGTGTTCAAGAAAGTATAGGCTTTGGTCAGTGCTCTCCCTAAAGTGCAGGTTTTAAACCAGGTGGACACCTCACTGTGAGGCAAGATCCCACAGCATTCCCTTCGTTAGGAGCACAAGTAAGATTTCTTGCCTCCACCTGCTAGGGTTTTTTTTGCATAGGAATGGATTTTAGTCTTTGTGAATTGTACTCTTTTGACAGAGCTGCTTGGAATTGGCCAAGTGATTCAGATGTTACTGGGAGAAAAAAAGATGACTGTGTTTGCATGCATGTGCGTACCATTGTTACATGAAATTCGTTTCTTTACTAAATCTTGTTAAGAGCTATAGAAGGAAATGCAATGAAAGCATTTACTGAAGAGCCCTCTCTCTATCTTTGATAAGAAACTACAATTTTTTGAGGAAGGAAATGCATTAGATATAATTGGTCTGGACTTCAGAAAAGGATTTGATATAGGTCCATATGGGAAATCATTAGTTAAGATGGAAATTAGTGTGGGAAATATGTTATAGGTAAGAAACCAGTAAGTGGGGATATAATGAGAGAGGCACTATACATCCAGAGACAGACTCCGCACCTTTCTTCCAGAACTGCTCCTGCAGTTTCGTTTAATATCCTCCATAATGAAGCCAGTGCAAAAAGCACCTGCACATTAATCAGTAATTTTAACTTGATGAAGGTGTGTAAAGGGGTAACTGTAGCTGCTATTTTTACCCAGGGGAGCAGGGAGAGAGAAAAAGGGGCTTTTCCTTGCCATATGACACCTGTCATTACAGGTGGGAGTAATGGGAAAATGGTTTACTGTCCTTTAAATTCTTTTATCTTGGCTGTGCATCTGTAAGCTGAGAGGAAATTCTCTCTATGCCATAGAAGGAGTATTTGTAACTCTGAGGATTAAACTGGTAGGAAGAGGGTAGAGTGTATTAGTGCAGAGGGCAGGACTGTTTAGGGCTATGACAGCAGAGCGTAGTTTGAGATGTCCTGGCTTCCCTGGCATCAACTCTGTTCATCTCACCCCTCCAGCTGCTTCCACTCTACCAGAGGGAGCCTTCAGCATGGGGCAATCGTGGCTTAATGGTCATGAGGTGGCCAGATGAAGACATATTTCTGTGGATTGCTGCGATGCAAACCTTGAACCAGTAAGACCCATGTCTCCTTTAGCAGTGTACAATGGGAAACTGGAAATCCCAATTCTACCTTAATTGTGTGTTATGCTTTTGCCCCCTCATTATTCAGTTTCCTAATGAACGCTCCTTGGATCACATAGATCTCTTCCTGTTGGAGGTTGACTAATTTTCACATACCAGCAGTGCTTTATGGTGTGCTTTGTATGAGATTAACTCATCTAATAGCCACATCCCCCGATGAAACCTCCAAACCTCCATTTTCTGCTCTCTTCCACTGCTACTTGAGCATATAAAACACAGTATAAAAGACAAAATTGAAATAATTTGCCCACCAACACCATCCAATTGTACATATACTTGGCATTTTTTCAGGTACCTCACTTTCTCTGACTGCTTATGGATTTCATTACTGCAGCTTGTTCAGGCTCTAGTGCTCTCCTTCCACCCATGACGTCCTCAGTTACATTATCATTAACTAGCTGGATGAAGGTAGGTGATGTAGCAAAGGAATACGTGGAGAAAGCTTAATGGCAGTAAAAAATTCTGATCTGCATAATGTAATGAGAAAGGCACCTCTCAAAAAACTGAAGGGTGATGTGGACAAGAGAGGACAGGCAGAAAGGATGCCTGGAGCCTGTTGCTTCGATAGAGGCAGCTGGATAAGCCAACCCTGGACATTCCTTATAGATCTCTGTCTGACAGAATCACTGCTATATGCTAAATAGTCTTCCGATAAATAATGTTCAGCCAAAATTAACATAACTTATTGTTCTGTCTCAAAGCCCAAAGGGAGCTACAGTGCCTCCTGAGACACTTCTCTCTGCAACCAGGGTGTAGGGTCTGTTCATGTGGTGGGCACTTAAGTAGCCCCAAGGTTAGGAGCCATCCTGCCCTTTCCACTCGATCAAGCTGCAAAGACTGAGTGAAAATGCTGACTGGTTCCCTGCCTTTGGTCTGCACAATTTCCACCAGTGCTGTCTCCCAGCTTTTCACACTTAAGATAAGTACCAGACTGAGACCATTCAGGAAGGGATTACATGAAATACCAGAGGTACCGTTCATTCCAAAGGACCTCACATATTTTACAAACCCAGGGATGTATTTTCAAATTTCCGAGCTTAAATTGGTGCCTAAATAATTTTATTACACTAAAATTCAGAAGTGCAGTGGGACTTCACAGACCTATAATCATTGATAACATTGTTTAAATTTTGACCGACGTTCCAAAATCTTGTCACACAAGGAAATATAAAGAAATTTCCACACTTTTCCAAAGTGCAGCCGTACCTACCTGGGGGTAGCATGACAGCTACCCAAGAGTGCACACAGCATTTAGTTATGAAAAGTGAACATGAATCCAATGCATGAGATTGGGCAAGAATGCTATTTCTCAACTATATATGAAGTCATTTAATTTTTCTGGCCTTGTAAAAATTCAAGAGATTCTCTCAGAGTGAGGTAGAATCTGTTGCATTACTTATTTCTTATTCTCAAATGGGTCTTCAAAACAAGTAAGGAGGGCAGATGAAATTGCAAGTCCTAAAAAATCTTACAGTTTGCCTTTGATGGGCCCATCAAAGTTCAAGAACAGCCTAGTACTTTAATATTTATTATACTCTTTATTTTTATATTCTCAACACACCCTTTTCCAGATCCTCACTTCACATCAGTCATAAATCTTGCCCATCTCACTCATCGGCATTACATCTGGACAAAATTATAAAAGGGTTAATATAAAAAGCAGGCTTCCTGGATAGATTGTCTCTCCCCATTTAAATTCTTTCAATGCTAAAGGCAATTTGAGTTTTATTGTACGTTCATCATCAGAAATACATTTATGCACTGATTTATATTGTGGATGAAATAGTTTTTATTTGTATGTACATAAAACTATAAACTTTTAATGTAAAATGGAGCTTTGGAATATTACTAGTGGAGTATTAAGAACCAAGAAATTGAGTGTTTTAGTTTTAAGATTTCACCTGGTGCATTGTGATCAAAATAATAAGTACTTAATCATGCAACAAGTTTATAAGCATGCATGTATTTTACCTTTTTGGCGTTTGGAAAAAGCACAGGGATGAATCTGAAGTTCATACTTCCTTGCTGTATAAACTCGATCTGCATCTAGAATAGAACAAAATGCCAGTTCTATTGTAACGCCATGATAATTTTTCTTTGCATGCATCTGAACCCTATGTGTAAAAATATTTGTTGCTTACTTAACCTGCTCTTCTGTTAAGTGATTTGATCTATCACTGGTGGACTTGGTTTGGTTTGGCCAGTTAATCTGATTCTTCATTACTACAGAAATGATATAGGAAAGATGTCAGCCTTTTTTGAGCATTTAGTTCTGTGGTATGAAATAAATATGGGTTTAGCTGCAGTTGCAATCCCACGAAATCCATCTCTAACTGATGAAGCTTGACTTGACTAAGGCCCCTGTTCAGTCTCCAACAGGGTGAAAGACTTCAGCCAGAGGCCAGGTCTGTGTCCAAGCTAGGACCCAGCCTGTTCCCCATGGCCCTGGACACAGGCATCCCAGGGGTGATAAGGACAGCAAAATACTGCTGAGAGCTCATCTGTTGGTGACAGCTTCTGAGAAGTTTGACTGCAGGACGAAACTATGGAA